GCTAATTAGTGGCAATAATTCAAGTGTTTCAATTTGCTAGGCACCAATTTGCACAAAAATTACAGGGACTTTATATCCCCGTTCAAGCATGCCAATGCTTTTTTCCATAGCGAGCCATGTAGCAGCTTAAGGGTGGGTGTGGGTATTTTTCAGTAAAGATGAAGAGATTTCACTAAACTGCTCAGGGATGTGCAATGCTTTGGAAGTCATTTTAAGGATTTTCTTGTTGTGATTCATCTTGGTAGGTCTAAGTCTGCTCCCGTTGGTTTACGAGAGTGTAAAGAGAGGAGGAAAATAACTCCGCATTTTTACAGGAGCAAATAGGTGCCAGGGAGTGTAGGAGCCCCAGCAAGATGCAGAGCCCTCCAAAGTATTTTCAGCTTGTGCAGAGGCAGGAATCATTGGCTAGAAGAGTACTGCCCCCAGCCCCAGTGCTGCGGAGAGGCAGAGATTGGCTTTTGAAGTGCTAAGCTGCAAAGATTCAGGCAGGTTAGAAAGGAGCTGAATGTCCTGCTGAGAAGCGCTGTCTCAAAAAATGTGTGGTATCTGGTCAACTGCAGTTGATCAAATATTCTACTGAGTTCTGGTTCCAAAAGTGCTGTCCCAGAAAAATTAAAAACAGGAATGCGTTAGTATTAAGAAAGGAATTTTGGGGGGGTTTATGGCATTTATAATTTGTTCTGCATTACTCTAGGAGAGTTTTCTGCCTCAGACAGCTCCCTCACTGATATCCAGGAGCAAAGACGGCAGCCCATGCCAGACCCTGGTCTTATGCCATTGCCTGATTCTGCCTCCGATCTGGACTGGTCAAACTTGGTAGATGCTGCCAAAGCCTTTGAAGGTAAGTTTTCAGAATATAATACTTAAAAAGCTGGTCTTTGTGTGTGCGTGCTTCATTAAGGAGTGGGTTTGGGTTTTTGTTGTTTTCTAAATTTTCTCTTGCTTTTTTTTGTTGTTACTGTTTCTACTTAGTCTGAAGCTTAAGCTTATTTAAAATAGCAGCTCAAGTCTTAACATCCTAAAACTTTGTGTGTAATACTCGGGTACCATTTCTTCATACTGGAATGAAATCCCTCTGTGCTACAGTTTGGCCAAATCTTTGTGAAACTGGCCACTTCTCATTTCACATAGTGCAGTTGCAGGCATCCGAGCTAGGGTGGAAAAGACATCAGGCACAAAAGTGCGAAAGAGAAGTCAAATAGCAGGGGAAAAGCGTACGAGCACACTAATGATTGCTTGCTTACCGCACTAGCAAGGGGTTTATGTAGCGCAGCTGAAGTGTGCTGCCAAGGTAATTTGGGAAATACGCCCTGTCGGTATACACTTTTCCATTGCCGTTCTTCTCTTTGCATACTCAGAATACATAGACTTGCACATAAGTGTTGTTTCATCCTCTGACACTTTCCATCTCCTTGTCAGTTAGTAAACTGAAGAGACCTATAAGCTGCCTAGATGTATTTGAATTTAAAATTAAATACACTTCAGCCCAAAGCGAGCTTACCTTACAGATACTATAATCCAGTAGAAAAGTATTCTAGGTGCATTAAACAGAATTGCCTTTTCCTAATCTCTGCATAAATGCTGTCCCACCCTCATGGAAGTGTATTCGCTAATCCTGAATCTTTCAGACATTGCTCTGCATGGTTGGAGAAGGCTGTGAAGTAGCTTGCTTCCTTGGCTGCTCTCTGATAGTAGCCGTATACATCATTAAGGCGGTGCATGTCCAAGCTGGTGTTCAAGACGTGCACATGTGCTCTGCCCTATTGCCATAGGAGCTGTAGGATCAGCAGCTCTCATGTTCCTGCTGTGCAGTCTTGGGAAGGAGTATTCAAAGTAATCGTTAGTCCTCAAGAGGAGGTGAATTTGTAGCGATGGCTTTTTCACCACCACATAGGGATGAAACCCAGCTTTTAATGCATTTCACTGTGGTGGGCAATTTCTGTTTAAAAGATCCCTTTTTTTTTTTTGTTAGATTTATTTGACTGTCCTCATTAACCTGAATCGCTCACTTTTGTAGGCCCCAAACTCACTTGTGTTTCTCTTTAGAAGTGTGAACAAAGTCAGTGTGGTGAAGGTGAAGGTAAGGGTAAGAAACTGACAGTTCAGATGAAGAAAAGCTGGGGTAATGTCTTGGCTGGCACCTTCATCTCACTGCTGTAAAAATATATTCAGATTTGACTTGGAGAGGAAAGAGCTGTCTGATGTCAATATCATCCCAGTCTCTAGTCTCCGCCAGGTTGCCAGTAGGGATTGACAAGTACCAAGCAGCCTAAATTCTGATTTGTGATCCTGGACACCTCTCTTCCGCATTGTTGGTTGGTGTCTTCAGCACAAGCCCCTGAAGTTACAAATAGTGGTATCTGCAACCAGCTGAAACAAAATCTGCCTGGATCCCTGAGCTACACCAATCTTCAGTATTTTCATTCAAAGGAAAAAAGAGAAGAGCAGGAAAAGTTCCATCAAATACCAAGGCACGTTAATTTTAGCCTTGTTGAAAGCACAGAATAAAAATTTGCCAAGCAGAAAAAGATGATACTGTTCTGTTTCCAGAAGAGACCAGCAGCTGCTGAGGGAGAGACATGTTACTTTATTAAACTAAGAAGTGTTTATGTTACTGTTTGTGCTAGGGGACTCCAGAGGTAGGGGCAGTTGGTAGTTTACAGTCACACTACCTGTGATAGTGATGTAGAGGTGTGTTAAAACATCTGAGCAGTTACAGCACAAAAAAGTAGACATGAGGCAGGAAAGAGGTTTTGTGTTTCAATCTGGAAACGTTTTTCTTAAGGCATAAGGCAAAAATTTCAGGTTCTGAAAAATTACATTGGTCGCTTTGCTTTTCACATGTAAATTGTGCACAGTGAGCTTTTCTTTCCTCAAGATAAAGGGGTTCTTTATCATCTGAAGGAAGCTAAATATAGTTCCTGAGTTACCGGGTAGTGTCATGCAGTTGTACCCAGGAAGTTGTGCACAGCGCGTGTTGTTCCACTTGGCTTCTTGCCTCTCTTGGAACTGGCCTTGGGTGGACTCTGCAAGCGCTGCTGGGGTACCTCTGCTTTGCACTCTCTAGCTTCCCCCTCCTGGAGAGCTTCTTAGCCTGAGGGTGGTGCATGATCTGTGTGAGCATGCAGTGCTGTGCCAGAGCTAGCACTTGCTTGTTGAATCCCATACAGTGGAGAATCTGGTACAAACATTTGCAATGCCAGCTTGCTCCTGTCAAGTGGATGTCATATCACCTTATCTTGCTTGAAACAGACTTCTCAGATTGCTTTGAGATCCTGCAGTCCAGCTGTTGTGCTGTGCCCAAACAGATAATCATTACTGCTGCAACTGTTTTCCTCTGTATGTTTGCCTTCTCAGTTCAGCGAGCTTCATTCTTTGCTGCTGCTGATGAAAATCACAGACCCGTGAGCGCTGCCTCCAGCAGTGATCAGGCTGAGGACCAGCTTACTGCACAGATAAAGCCTTATACAGGGTAAGTAAATACACAAGATACGCTCCGCATCTTCCTCAGCTACAAACCAAGGAAAAGAGTAGGAACATCTCTATTTGGAAGCCATCTCCAGGCTTCACAGAACTCTTCACAAGTTCTGATGAAGATGGTGGTGGGAAGTGAAAACAGAAGAATCCTAAGTCCAGTTGAACCTTTTTGCAGGTTCTTTCCTGTCTGAGATGTTCATGAATATGTCCAAAGCAATGGTAATTGAAGGCACGTGTAATGAGTAGAAGTAGGGAGAAGTCAAGTGATGGGATGGCCCAAATTAATCATGAGTTAAAGTCTGTTGATTGATGTGCTGCATGTGTTCCATGTACTTTTTGTTAGGTTCTTTTTGTTCATTTTCTGAATTCTTGGCGTACCTGAGCACATACCTATGTAAAGCCACTTGCTGTAGCCAAGGCTGTTAGCTACCCTATGTGAAGACAGTAAATCATAGTGATTCCTGTTCTTGTTTCCTGCTTTCAACAGTAAAGAATCTCCTCCAACTCTTGCCTCTAAGGTGGACCAACTGGAAGGTTTGCTGAAGATGCTGCAAGAGGATTTAAGGAAGGTAAATATTTCATCTACAGAAAATCTGTAAGACAATATGTTTAGTGCTGATAGATGATGCTAATAACTGTGTAATCCAGCTTTGCCATGCCTCAGCCTGTAACAGTCTTAGCCTTGTATGAGAAAAACACATCTCTTTACTACTATTCTCAGGCCATACTTCTAATTATGCAAGGCTAGAGCAGAGTGTCTCAATTTTTAGGCATCTGATTCCTCTGCTTGAATTAGGAGAGAGATTCAGATTCCTGCACTCCTCATTCAGGTGACACTGCAAACGGCTTGAAGTCAGTCCATGTAGGTATAGCCTGCTGATGTTGAAAAGCTGACAGTATTCTCTAAACATACAGTTTCTACTGTGGAAACTTCCTGTACTGTGTTAGTGCCTGCTTGAACCAAGAGGGATCAGCTGTGGTCAGGTGAAAAGTCTCTTAGCTGGGGGAGTATTTGCAGGAACACGTCCTGTCCCTTATTTAGGTAACCATCAGCAGTTGTACATACACGGGGTACCTACAGGACCAGGAACGCACAATTTTATTTTACTGCTTGGGGAGCCAGCTTCTGTATTAGAATTTACTACAGAGAAATCCTGCTCATTCTAGCAAAAGGTGAGGAATGAAACGTCACGGATGTCCCCGAGGTGTAAAAACACGTGTTGCTGCACATAAAATCCTTATAAAGAACAAGACTCATGCTCTCCTAAGAGATTCTTGGCTCTCTGTATAGGTAGGAAGCATGACCTAAAATTCCCACTAAGATCTGTATTTTTCCTCATGCCTAAGGAAAAAGAGGACAAGGCCAGTCTTCAGGCTGAAGTGCAACATTTGCGGGAGGACAACTTGAGGTTACAGGAGGAATCCCAGAATGCCACTGAGAAACTGAAGAAATTCACCGAGTGGGTTTTCAACACAATTGATATGAACTGAGAACAGTGTATGGGGAAGGAAACTATCTGTTATGAATATTATTACTGGGACTTAAGCTTTAATGCCACCTTAATCATGACATGTGAAAGTATAGTCAGAGCACTTCCCTGTCCTTCATCCTCCAATAACCCTTTTTTGCATCTCTGCGTGCATTCAGAACAATTGCAGATCAACAATTGATGTCTGCCTTTTGTAGAAAAAACAAAGTAAATAATTTTAAAAAGGTAAAATAAAAGTTTAACTGCTAAAATGTGAATGTCTATTTTTTGCACATTGTCTCTTTATCTGTTATGTACAAAATGATTTGGAGACGGGATCAGGCTTGTTGTTCCATCTGCCTCCGTTTCCATTAACTCCTTTCTCTCTGTTTCAGGTAATCTGCTTTTCCTTGCAGCTTTGGCAAATATTACGACATCTAGAAAATTAGAAAGAAATGTTTATTTTACTGCTCTTCTTACATTGTTTTCTGAAGTATGCCTCAGACAAGGGGGTGTAATGCAATGTTTTAGGTGTCTCCTTAGCAATTTGCGCTTGATTGCTAGTGCTACCTTCCCATACATTACAGAGAACGCGTGTCCGTAGCGTATGGTACAGTACGACCAGCATCATAACCTTTGGAGAGAGACTAGAGACGTGAGCCGTGGGTGAGGCGTGTTATCACGCATCTATTGCATTAGCATTTCTGGTAGCCTTTGTTTCCCGTGGAAACAATGGCTGCAAGTAACTTTAGGAACAGCAGAACGAGGCATACTGCAGTCCATGCTGCATCAGGCAGGCTGAGAGATACCGAGGATGGTTGCTGTACCGCTTAAGCACCATCCCCTTCCCTTCCAGGAGAATCTGTTACTTGCGTATGTGCAGGAGACTTAGGCTGAAGTTGTCAAGAGATGAAGCTTTCCCCTGACCTGTTTCCATGAAAATCCACACAAACCATCACTGTGCACCTGCCTGCCCATTCTGCTTCTCTGGACCTCAAATCACAACAGATTTGAGAAATGTTTATTCAGCTTGTGTTATATTACATGAGAGGTCTCATAAATCTTTTACTATGGTAGACAGAGGAATATGTAAAGGTGAATTAGAGAAGTGTATTTTTCAAAGTACTGGGATAGGATTGGAGCTCCGAAATCCCCAATCCCCAGTGAAACTGTCTAGCATGAGATTTCCCAAATTGCCTCATGCCAGGAAAGTTAATTTCTTGTTCTTTGAAGGAACAGCTAGCTTGCCACAACACGTTACCTCTCCAGAAAATACCTTTTAGGTGTCAGAATGCGACTTCTAAGCGCCGCAGTCTGCACAGGCACTGAACCGTGCAGTGTGCTGAGAAACCTTTTCTACTCCCTTCTGAGGATACAGTCACTACTTTGATAAATAATTGCCTTGCATAAAGTGCAGCATATTTGGGGGTTAATTTCAAGACCATCCACTCCCTCCTCTTTACAAAATAGACAGATTAAAATCATTGGACATAGTCTTGTCCCAGAAACTTCCACGCTCTTTTCAAATCCTTTTTTCATGCTCTTTAATCTTGCTCCACACAAGTACACACTACACTTCAACCTCAAACTTCATTTGTGATGCTAATCCCCATGGAGTTCTTCTCTAATGTTTTGTCATGGAAATGGATCTCTTTGGAACTATTTCTGGAGTGCTTTTGTAAAGGTTTAGAATGTCTTGGGTTTTTTAATGACTTGTATGAAGGAGATTTATATAATGCTTGATATTATTTGTAAATGGGAAATATTGCTAACATCTCTGAGCATCCTGAAGTCTTGCTTTTATTCTCTTTTATTTTTCAGTTTGGTTTTTATTTTATTTCAAAAAATATTTTGGGACTTGGGGCAGACTATTTATTAGAGTTTTGCAACAGAGTTCTTCTTGTATGATGCCACTGAAGGCTACTTGTAAAATTCTGACAATAAAACTCATTTTAAAGGCTCTTCTAAATAATTTTCTTCTGATTTTGTTGGGTTTGTTGTTTAAGACTTTCCAGAGTGTCCATTTCTCCCTGCTTTCTTCTTGTACCACTTTTCGTAGTGCTCAGCGATACAAAAGTTTCATGCTCTATCAGATTTCTACTGTTTATCCCTTTGAAGGCCGCTAATTGGTATGTATACACGCACTTCATCCCTTGAATTCTTACTTGTATTACTGCACAAATGTCTTTTCTTCCCCCATGTACAAGGTTTTGCTACCTTTAACAGTGACTCTGAGCTTCACCAGGCTGTGATATGGTAAAGGAGGGGCAGTGATTTTTTTTTTTTTTTAATCATTTAACAGGATTTTGGAACTTACTTGGAAAAATTGAAGCCAAGTTAGGTCAAAACCAGACTTGCCTGGTATATCCACCCAAGGGCGCACACAGCTTTCAGCATCCCAGAGCCAAACCTGTCAGCTGCCACATTAGCTGTTAGGTGCATTTTGTTACCCAGATCCCCTCCCTTGACTCGGGAGGTGGCCTTGGACATGTTTTGAACAGACCTTTTTTTTGGCCCGGTGGATCACCGTTCTGCGTGGCTCAGAAATGTGGAACTCGGTCAGTCTGCAGGAGAGCGTCTCCCAGGTTCACTGAACGGATCCTTAAAAAGCACATGGGGAAAGAAAACCCATCTTTTTCTAGCAGTGAAGTACCCAACCAAGAGAGCTCTGAAGCAGCAAGAGCAAATGGAAGCATCTGATTGAAAAATAGGTGTTGAATCTTGGAAAGAAAACTAGATGCTGTCTTAACCATTTGTAATCAGATACTGGTAACTGAGTTGAAGCAGAAAGTTTCCTGCAGGTCAAGGAGTTGCCCTGCCCCGCGTTCATAATGAATTCACGCCAGAGGTTCCCATGCTCCACCATTTACGCTGCTAGGTCAGCCTCCACCAGGGCAAGATCTGACTCGCAGGCATCTCCTCACAGCCTGAGTAGTTACTGGCCTCAGCAGAAGGTGGGTGGCTGCAGGAGGAGTGTGGGTAACAGGGGCTCTGCCTTCCTATTTCACCCATTTCTCCCAAGAAAGTGAAGTTTTGTATTCCTGGAAAACAGTTTTGTATCCCTTGTCTGTGTTCCAGTGCAAAGGTACTGCTCTCCCTATGACGGCGTTTTGGATAGCCAGATGTGGCTGGTACAACAGCAGAGGGCTGCCTTCTCTCAAAACCCCCAAATCAGGGGGGTCACCATGGGGGGACTTCAGCTTGCATGGTCGATAGTACTCTACCAGAAGTGGAGCAGGGTGTAGGTAATGGGTCACAGGGTAGTGGCTGTGATAAGCAGCGAGCTGTAAGGCACGCAGGAGGTGGGATTGCCAAGGGAGAGGCTGGTGGAAAGGGTACTGGGGAGCCGGTATGGGGTTAGGGGAGAGATGTTCTGGGGATGAAATGCAACACATCCAGGTTTTACTCCTAAAAATGTGGTTCCTGTAGGAAGCTGTGTTCCAGACCCAATGAATGGGTATGGTGAGGAAGCCTTTCCCCCAGCTTCTCCTTCTGTGGGAAAGATCCCCATGAACCAGGTGCAATTTGGGAGGGCTGTCTTGTCTCTTTTTAAAAGCTTTACGTAATGCTTCTCTCATGTCCTAGTGCCTTCTTTTGGGTAGACGGTTAACAAATCTTCTTTTAAAGCAGTCAGCTGTCTCCTAGCAGACACTTCAGCATGGTGTCAGTCCTGTATGTGAGCAACTTGCTTTGCTGCAAGACAGCAGGGGAGCAGAGGCGGTTTCTGTTTACTAGCTGGTATGACATCCAAAATCGGATTCCCTGGAGGAGAGATGACACTGTCCCTCCTCCACCACTGCAGCTAGAGCAGAGGCATGGGCTTTGCTGAGGTGGTTACTAATGGAACAGAGCTGGGCAATGAAATGATGAGGCTTGTACAGATGCTTTCACCTCTTCCTGATGTTAGCTGTGGTGAGGAAAGTGTTGCTGTGCTGTTGGAGGCAATGCTGAAGGGGAAGAAAGCTCAGAAATATTTGCTTCAGAGCTCTGCAGGAAGAGCCCTTTCCCTAGCAGAGGTTTCAGCTTTGGCTGGGTGTGAGGGGAGCAAAGATGAGGCGTTTGTGTGAGTTGGATTTGTTGGAGGCCAAGGTCTGGATTTGGAGCCCTACTTGGTATGCAAGGTCACAGCAGGCAAGTCCGGCTTCTGCATTTGCATGGACCTGTCTCCCTCCAGAAGGTGATTTCAGTGTGTTACAACCAGCTTGTGTTTCTCCAGGCATTGGTGTCTGATTTAAAGTGGGCTGGGCTGTTTGTGGCATGGCAAAGTGTGGCCAGCTCAAGTGGGATCTCCTGCAGGGAGTGAAACTGGGGTGCTGCAGCAAGCTGCACGGCTTTCCCAATCCGCAGGGCTGGGGCTGTAGAATTTCTGTTCTATCACAAGGTAACTCAGCTTGGAAGTATCCTCAGGAAGTCTCTTGTCCAGCCTCCAACCAAAGCAGGGTCAGTCTGAGGTCAGACCAGGTTGCTCAGGACTTTTATCCAGTTGGATCTTTGGGAAAAAAACCTCCAAGGATGGAGACTGCACAGTCTGTGTGGGCAATGCATGACTGTCCTCATCATGAAAAAGTTTTTAGCGGGGTTATTAGAAACGTGTAACCTCGGCAGCAGTTGCAGGCTACGTTTTGCCTCCATTCTTCCAAGAGCTCATGACCCAGGAGTCCGTACCCTCCTTGAAAGCCTGTAAGCTGTCCCCTGCCTGCAGCCAGCAGCAGAGCACCCACATTTGCTTTCCCTGTTGAGCCTGGCAGGAAGGAAGCCCAGCAGCTTGGTGTGTGCTGAGCTTTGTTTCTCCACTAATTGACTTCCTACAGTACAGTTCTGATTTTTTTTCCTAGAGATTTCTCATTTCTGTACTCAGTACACCGCATTCATGCTTTAACCAAGGCCTGGATGGAGCCCCCTGGTTCTGCTTCACTCTGCTGCCTGCGAGAAGGACGCCTGTACTGCCAGGCAGGGAGGCACAGCTGCTGGGCAGGCAATGCTCTTGGCAGCTGAAGGAGCCCTGTCAGCTTTTGGCACCCAAAGAAGTCAGAGACTGAAACTAGGATGTGTTCAAGGGCTAGGAGTGAATGTGGTTTCCTAACCTCAGGTTGTGATAGTGGCAAATGCCCCCAGCTAGTACCTAAAAAGAGGTTTCATGCCACAGGGGCAAAAATCCAGGGACTTGTCCTGGTGCTGTTTTAAATTTCATTCCAGTTCTTTCCTCTTGCTTCCTCTCACCTGCTCCTGCACTTCTCCTCCAGCAGAGTTTGTTCATTTTGTCTGGTGGCTG